CCTCTTTTTAAGTCTTACCAAACTAACCAAGTGGTGGAGATGCGTGAAGTAGGAAGAGTGCTTGCTTGGGGTGGGTTAAGTGTGGTGTAAAAGTTGGAGAAGGAATCTAAGTTTTATGGAAATGTTTAGACTTATAGCTTTCAATTATGTAAGAGAGAGATGGATGGTTCAATTGGAAATTGTCGTTTGGTGACGACTTATTATTAAGAAGGGAGTGAGAGATGTGCCGAGGGAAGAAGATGATGAAAGTGAGGGCGTTTTTTATATGGTGACGGCCATTAAGTTTTTCTTTGTTTGTTTGTTTGCTTTTTTTATTATTATTATTTTTTTTTGTTAGGAAGAGGGTGGTCTGCTAGGAAATTTTTTTCAAAAAGATGAATAGTGGCTAGTTTTTTCTTTCTTGTAGAGACTACATCTCCGGGGTTTTTGTGGGATAGAAAAAATTGTGGAGCCCCTTAAAAATGAAGAGAAATAGTTGCTTATATGGGGGATTTTTAGAGTTGGGAGGAGGGGTGAGTCATCTCTTTGATAATTTTTTTTTTTTTTGTATTTTATATATTTTTTGTATTTTTTTATTCTTTTTCCTTTTGTTTTTTTAATTTTTGTAGTAAATTTCAAAATAAAGTGAAATGAGATAAAATACAATAATAAACAAATAAAACAACAAACCATGAAAAATTTTGGATTATGACAATTATTTTTTTGTTAATTGATGACGTATTCGAATACAAAATTATAATTTTACCCTTTTTTGTTGAAAAAAGCTTTCTCCTCAAATTATTTTACTATTTTATAATTTGACAAATAATTTAAAAAATTATTTTTTATCTTTAAAATTCCAAACTAAACTCAATTAAGTTTCTATTAAAAAAATCAGTTAGGTTTAAAAGTAAAAATTAAAGAAAAACACAAATGAATATTCTCAATGAAAAATCTCACGTTTGTGTTTCCTTTACTTTTTACACCCAAAACCTAACTCGATTTTTTTTTAACAGCAAGTCTTACTAAGTTTAGTTAGAGATTTTATAACTAAAAATAATTTTTTAATTCTTTGTCAAATTTTAAAATGATAGAATAATTTAAGGAGAAAGTTCCATACAACAAAAGATGAAAAAAAATATAATTTGATATTCAAACATGTCATCAATTAATGAACAATTGACAAAACTACTTAATTGATAGTTTTGAAAAAGTTGTCATACTCAATTTTAAAAAATTAAAGTTCAAGTACTTCATTGAGAAAAAAAAAGGAAAAAATTATAATTTGCTATTTTGAGGATAATAGACATGCCATCAATTAGCGAGAAAAATTGATGAAAGTACTTGATTGATAGTTTTGAAAAAATTAATATATTCAAACAAAAAAAAATTTACATATTTGATTGAGAAAATATTGAAAGTTGGTATACTTATATTGTAATTATCCCCAATTAGATTTGTAGAGAGAGAATTTATGTGCTTGTGAAATACAAAGAGGAGGTGTAACCAAAATTGAGAAAAAAGTAAACATACCATCAAAATTTTCTTTGTCCCCTTGTCGATCCATAACTATTTTATTTTGTGTATTATTGGTTTGCGGTTGTTTTGTGTATTGATGTTTTGCAATGTTTTGTAATTGTGTTCTATGTATTTATGTCGACAATTAAAGATAGATATTTTGGATATTTGATATAAAATATAATGTAGCAACGAAAGGTATATTGATAATTTTAAAACATAAACGTTGAGAATAACAAAAAACATGATGAAGTTAGGAGTACTCATATTTGTAGTTTATAATGTATTTCCATTTTGTGTAATATGAACTAATCTTATTTTTATTATCAATATTTATAAGGCTATTAATGTGAAATTTTATTTATTGCCATTTGTATATTATTCCTACATTTTTTCTAATGAAAAGTAAATCGATTCAGTTTTTATGCATTGAAAATAAATTCCTAGCTCTGGTTGGATCTTAAATAAAGTCTGGACTAATGCCTCCTCTTGAACTTAGTAGTACTCTATGTACGTACCATTGATAATTAAATAAACAAAATTAGCGTACCATTGATAATTAAATAAACAAAATTAGCTGTATTTTGCATTTTATTTTAAATGAATTTACCTTTTTACAACTTCAAATATGAAAAGCATAAATGCAAGTATGCATTTCTCCACCATGTTATGTTTTCTTTTCTTTTTTCGATTGTGTTTGTTGTGAGTGGGGAGAAATATAACACCAAACCATTTAAGGTATATTTCGTTTTCAATACATGTTTATTTTTGCTGTTTTTGTTTTAAATTTTTATCCTTCTTAATTTCATTTCTAAAAAAAACATATATTTAATGGTGAAAATTAGTTTCATATAAAAAGTCATGAATGTAAAGTTAATTTATATAAAACTTTGGAATAATACTTTCATTCGTACTTATATAAGATGATCAATATCTAATTTATCTTTATATTTTTTAAAAAAATCAATTATATCTTTGTATTTAAGTAAGTTTTTAATTTATTTTTCTGATAAATATTTCTTGTCAAACCAAAAAAAAAAAAAAAATCACTTGACTTGCATATAACTCTTTTTTTAAATGCCCCTTAGTTGAACATGTACAAATCATTTTTTTTTTTTGAGAAATATGTTTTTAAAAAATTAATCATGTGCAAGTCACATGACTTTTTTCGGTCATTTAACCCAAAAAATCTAACAAAGAATAAATTGAAAACTCACATAAAATAGTTTCATATGTACTTATATAATATGATCAATATCTAATTTATTTTTATATTTTAAAATAAATCAATTATATCTTTGTATTTAAGTAAGTTTTGAATTAATTTTTCTGATAAATATTTCTTGTCAACCCAAAAAAGAAAATCACTTGACTTGCATATAACTCTTTTTTTTTTAATGCCCCTTAGTTGAACATGTACAAATCAATTTTTTTTTTTTGAGAAATATTTTTTAAAAAAATTACTTATGTGCACGTCACATGACTTTTTTTGATAATTTAACCTAAAAAATCTAACAAAGAACAAATTGAAAACTCACTTAAAATATAATGATATAATTAATTTATTTTAAAATATAAAAATAGATTAGATACTGATTTCATTATATAAAGATGGATTGAGTCGTTTCCCATTATTTTATTTATTTATTTATATGAGTCATTTATTTTATAAAAAGAATTGATGCATTTTTACAACTTCATCCAATAGCGACATGCATTAATTATTGTTAGCAAACAGAGGGTTTAAGACCTTGCTCTTTTTTCAAGGGCTGTTGTTTCAGGCTTAAGGTTTGGTATGGCAGCGAAGATTCAAACTCTTGTAATTAGAAACGGACTCAACTGATTTGGTCAACGCTGCCAAATGTTTTCATGAGTCTTTTGTTAGATACCCTCCATTCAAAGAAATGTTGTAGTCAATTCATCTGTCATTAATTGATGATTGGGATGTTTTTCATCCATCAATTTTTTCTATTTGAATTGTTCTTTTTTTTTTAATATGATATTTAATGATGAATTCTAAAAGTTAAGTGATGGCATGATCATTATTTGGAGTCGCGCAATAAAATAAGATATCGTTTGGTAATCGAAATAAAGTCATGAAAACGAAAATAGAAGTTTTATTCTCATGTTATAGATGTTTGGTTAAAAAGAATGAAATGAAAATGAGAATGAGAATGAAGAGTAGAAATGAGAATGAAAATTTACACACAACTTCATTATCATATAAGATATGGGAATAAAAACAAGGAATGAGAATAATTTTTTTAAATAATAATATATTTTATTTATTTATTATCTATTAACTACTTTTACCACCACCACCACCGCCACCACAGCAACCATCACAACCACCACCACTACCATCACCGCCGCTACTACGATTACCACCACTACTATCACAATCACTACCGCCACCACTACCACCACTATTATAACCATAATCACTATCATCATTTTTATTATTTTTACAACCATTATAATTTAACAAAAATATTATTTAATCATTATTTTTATTTATATAAAAAATCAGATATTAAAAAATTTAAATTGTATTCCGATTCTTCATTAGTATTTTAAACGCAATATGAAAATATAAATACTATTTCGATTCCTTAATTTTCATTCGATTCCTGCATTCTTATTTCCATCATTCTATTCTTGATTACCAAACAGACATCGATAGGTTTAGATAAAAAAATATATATACATATTTGGTATCTAACTATTTTATTAAAATTTTATTTGAGTAATTCTATATTTTAGAGTTTCTCTTTTTTTTTTTTTTTTCCTTCTAATAATGTATAGGTTGTGACAAATGTGAAAAAAAATTAATAACATAGCTTTTGTCTTGTTCCACACTTCCACTGGACAGAAAATGGGTTTGAATTGAAAAATATGAAAATCAATTAATGTTGTAAAAAATAAATAAAATAAAACTGAAATTTAAATTGAGGCATCAATGGCCACTAGTGTTTGTGGTTCCACCACTTGATTTAATTGCAAAAGTTTAGTATTTCCTTATCTTATTTTAGGTAACAAATGATATATTCGTCTTAGTTTCGAAAACGTATCCTATCTTTAATCTCAATAATATTTTATCTGATATTGTATTTTAATTTAAGTTTTTTTCCATTATCTTCTTTTCACATATTAACTCAAGAACCCAATCCTCTTCGTCCATTGCCTCCACCTCTGAATCCAACCTTCCACGTTATCGATCCGCACCTCACCAATTCCACCAATCAAAATCCACACACAAAATTCGAATTAGCACAAAAGCCCGCTTAACCGCTAACCAATCCTCCCCGTCCATTGCACTCCCAATATCCAACGGTCCACTACATCCACGTCATCGATCCATTCTTCTCCCAGCTAACCAATCAAATCTCGCCCTCTTCTCTTATATGTATCTCAGAACCCGAAGTCCAAATCATCAAAATCTCTGAAAACACACAGTCTCTGCATCTTTTACAATTTTTTGTTCTCCCTGACGATTTGCAGCAATGGCTCCAAAAGCTGAGAAGAAGCCAGCCGAGAAGAAGCCAGCAGAGAAGACACTAGCCGAGAAGAAGCCTAGAGCAGAGAAGAAGCTCCCAAAAGAAGCAGCCTCCGGTGACAAGAAAAAGAAGCGAAACAAGAAGAGTATAGAGACATACAAGATCTACATATTCAAGGTGCTAAAGCAGGTACACCCTGACATTGGGATCTCAAGCAAGGCCATGGGAATCATGAACAGCTTCATTAATGATATTTTTGAGAAACTGGCTCAAGAATCTTCAAGGCTTGCAAGATATAACAAGAAGCCCACCATTACTTCAAGGGAGATTCAAACTGCTGTGAGGCTTGTTTTGCCTGGTGAACTTGCTAAGCACGCTGTTTCTGAGGGCACCAAGGCCGTTACCAAGTTTACTAGTAGTTAAAGAATTGGATTTTTCTGCTTTTGGTAGAGGTGTTTTGGAATGGGAAAATTTGTTTGTGGGGGTTAGTTTTGTGTATAATTTTCCGCAGGTTGTAAAAATGCTAGTGGTTAACTATTCCGTGTTTTAGGTTTTTGGATAATTATGGTTCATTGTAGTGATAAATTTTTGTAATTTCATGGAAATTAATGAATACTAGCATTTTGTCAAATTCGTCTTCGATTCGTTTTTGTTTTGTTTTTAATTATTGAGGAAGTTGTTTGAATTTCAATATAAGGTTAATGTACGTGGATTTTATCGGTTTTTGATTGGATTTTTGTTGTATGTAGGGAAAAGACAACAATCAAGATTAAATGTACTAGTATCATGATGTTAAAGAAGGTGAAATTTTGAAAATGTGTTAGGTGAAACGTTAAGGTAACCATAGCTAGTTCATGTTTAATTTTTCAAATTCAGAACCTCATGTCTGACTTTCCCCTGCTTTCTTCTGTCTGCAGTAATCAAGTTGCCCTGATTATCAAGCAAACCTGATGCTGTAAGTGAGGCTTCACTTGCTTCCAGGTCCTTAGAATCAAAACCCAATAGCTACGAATTTGAACGTCCTGAAGAGTAACCACAATATATGCAGGGTTTGAGATGCAGGTTCTGGAACAGCGCTTTCTACCCTGTCATGGTGATAGACTGATAGTTTCTTTCGGAACGCAAGCGGAAGCACTTGCTGGACATTTTTTCCAGTACTTGTAGCCCTTTGATCTGCTGAGAATTTTGGGATGCGATCTTTTTTAAATGATTCTTGTCCGATGCTTGAATCTTAAAAATACATCCTGTAAAATCCAGAAATCAACCACTTAATTCCATCAAAGGTTAGATTTGTTTCTGCTATTCGTTGTAGCTAAGATAACTTTGCGAGCCCCACGAGGACTAGGATCAAATAGCATAGCATGCTGGTTCACCTGTATTCGGCATGTGATCATCTCAGCAATTCCTGATCCTTTAAACCCCCTAATATTCTCTCTTAGTATCTCTTCTGCATTTTCATCCAAACTAGGCAAAAACACCAAAATATCAACACCAAGTGGTTCTATCACATGAATCTGAATTGCAGCGTTGATTGATGCATCCAAATAATTAGCTTGCACTTCTGCATAGTGTACTTCCACAGGGAATTGCCTCCCAGGAACTCCCATAATCGGTGCGCCGTTAAAATATTTGCTGAACTTCTTTGCATCTATACAACTTTCAGTTGTTATAATCAACTTAATATGATTCAAATCACTAATCCTTGATCATCTATCCTAAAAATAACCCATCAAATTATCAGTAGTCAACTTCAGCTGCATCTTCCAATTTCGTCACACTACATCTTTCCAAATCCGTTTGAGGAAACGCCCGATAGTCTTTTATGAATCTAATCATGGTATCCCCTCTAAAACATTGTTTGTGAGGAAGCACATCGGATGAAAAATGTTTGCCAAAGCCGATCACTTTCAGAGCTCACAGCCCAGTGAAGTGCTTAACAGTGGGAGCTGCGGTTTCAGGCTTTCAGCGCTTACTAAAGATCGAGGAACCTGTGAATAGAACCTGCTATTGATAAAGGATACATTCCTCTCTTTTGAGTGGTTACTATTTTAGGCATTCCCCTATCTTCTACTGCCACGGGATATATTAATTCGGCGATACACTTCTGATAGTAATTTCTCTGTGCGGAGTGCCTATAAAACAGCACTGGCTTTGAATGCTAATCATAGTTCGATGCTAACCATGATAGTTGGAGGATGGCGTGGAGCATAAATATTCCAAAGAAAGTGCAGTTATTTCTGCAGAGAGCATGCCATAATGCGTTAGCTACCAAGCAGAATTTGTTGAGAAGGAAAAATTCTAGATAATGATGCGTTACAAACCAGGCATTGATGTGGAGGATTCAGGGGTTCAACATACTTTGAGAGTTTATGTGCGTAGAAAGAGGAATTCTAATTGAATAATTGCAGCCAAGATGAACACAAGGAAAGAATGATGGGGTCTGATTCTGATTTGGTTTGAACTTCATCTTTTAATTGATTCGAATCCTTTTATTTAGCACTTTCCCTTTTATGAAACTTGAATTCCAGCTATAAACTAAGTGAGAGAATAAGAGTAAGGCATGAGAGATTTTCTTGTATTCGACACATTAGAGTTGGCGAGGCTAGACCTTGGAATTGTTATTGTTTCTCACTTATTCAACAAAGCAGGCTTTGCAAGGCATTCTGGTTCGTAACATGATGTCTGCGACAGATGTAAGAGAGAGTCCGATAGTGTGTTTCATGCTCTTCCATTTTGTGAAGACACTCAACTCAATCCCATACTTTTGTCAAATTTGGCGGGACCTGATTGATTTTAAGGAATGGATTTGGTACAGATATGAAGTTTCAGATATCCTATCTTTTGAATGGGATATTATTATTCTATGCTAATTGTGGAGGCGACGAAATAATGCAGCTGTTTGGGGAATATTTTAATCCAGAGGACAATATTCGGGCAAAGGCAAAGCTCCATCTTGATGAATTTCAGGAACCAGAGAAGCATATTCGTGAAGACTCTGCTGCTAATTCTACCAGAGAATATGGGGGTTGGTGTGATTATTAGAGATGAAGGAGGCTGTATTGCAGGAATAATCGGCTAAGGCCGTTGCAGTTTTTTACCATTATATGCAACCTAACTCCGATTAACATAAACAATAACAATAACCACTTATCTAAGGATACTACCGTTATATTATTATTTCAAAAAACAAAATGTACATTTGATTGTTCATTTTAGAATAAATTTATTAATAATAATTAGTGTATTCTCGATAATGATTACAGCAACTATTATTTTATTATTATGATAGATTATAATTCAAGATTACAATCATAACTGTTTTTTCAATGGTACCTGCGATTTAAAATCATGATGGAAATGTTCAAAAAGATTGTTTACTTTTATGATGTGGTTACTACAGAAGCTATTGCTATGCTCCAAGGAGTTCGTTTAAAAGTGTGATTATTGTAGAGAGTGACAGCATCCAATTTATTTCTGGTATGACAACTTCTAATTTGGATGACTTAGGGGCTGGGCATATTTTTTCTGAGATTAAAGTTCTGTTAGCTGGCATGAGTGCTTTTAAGCGTATGCATGCTAAGAAAAGTGTAAACAAGGCTGCACATGTGCTAGCCGTGGTGTCCAGGATGGGTTTTGGCTAGATGAGCCTGCTGAATGCATCGCTGCCATATGTGTTCTGATCTATCTTTGATAAGATGAGCCTTTTCTATCAAAAAATAAAAAATAAAAAAATGGAAATTACTTACGAGGAAGAAAAGAATTTGATTCCAAATAAAACATAACGAGAGAGGTGAAAAATGGAACCGACGGTTCGGATTTCTCCTATCGCATGGTGGTTGATTCACGTAAGGTTTCCTCTTCTTTTTTTACATCTCTTTGAAATAATAATATAATGGTCTGTTTTTGAATCTGTAAGACCTTTATACCAATGGCTAAAAGGGTTTCATTTTGTTCCACGTTTGATTCTTTTGAGCCTTTTAGTTTAATTTTCATCTGGGTTTTTGTTAAATTTTGATTATAGGTTATACAAAGGTTGCTAAAAGGAGGTCTCAACTCAAAGCAATATTCTTTATTCAGGTACATTGTTTATAAATAAGTTCAGAACAGTTGGTGCCATTTAGTAATTTGGTAGAAAAATAGGGTGAGCTGATTTCTTTATAAATTTAATTAAAAGGACATTAAGTTTCTCAAAACTTGCATAATGTTGGTTTAGTGGCAAAAGGGTGAGCTGAAGTCGAGTGGCTGATACGTGTCTAAGGTTTGAGTTCTAGCATTTACTGAACTTTATATTAGGGCCACTAACTGTGTCTTTGACCCATGATTTATAATCTAGGTCCTATGGGTCAGTGGAGTTATCATGGGTCTAGAGTTTACCGATATAAGGAGTGGATTCTAGGGGGAAAAAAAGAGAGGAGATCTGAGTAATTTGATTCGCAGTACAAGTGAGAGCTGCACTTGGTTTATCATTTATGGATGACAAGTTTCAGATGCTAAATGAAGTTGTTCATTAGGTTCAATTCAGGTTTAGTATCAGATTAACCTGAGTTGTTCAATTGGTAGTCTTGTGATGTTTGAACTTATTTTTGTATACTGTAGATTACTTGATGTTCATAAATTTTAAACCTATGGTAGTTGCATTGATCTTTTTAGACCTTCTAGGCATCCTATTAATGTTTTTGTAATTTTCAGATATTAGGATTATAAATGCAGTTCTAGAAGTTCACCTCATTTTCTTACCAAACATCTTTATACTTGCTAAGCATCTTTATCCTTCATGAAATTGATTTAGAATTACCTTCTTTTTCATTTTGTTTTGATGTGATTTTCATTTTAATGCTGGCTATCTTTCAATTGATAGCACTATTTTATGTGATTTTATCCAATATCAAAGGGGAAGGATCCTAACACTCTTAGCATTTCATCTTCTGCATTTGGGCTGATTTCTCTTCTAATAGGGGAATTAGGTTGTTACATAATTCTTCTTTAGCTTTTTTTTTCCTTATTGATTTAGAGTTTTGCATCTTTTGATGTACTCATTCATTGCCATTTGATGAAGGTCGAAGGCGCAGCTGAGCAAGTTTTTTGAGAGTTTACCTGATCTTGTAAACTATTACAGTCCTTCTATCCATGTATTCTGCCATTAAAAGCAGTTCACCATTAGTGGTAAGCTAGATTCATTACTGCTCTATTCTTTTCAATAGTGGGTTTGTCTCTATTCCTTGAACGTTGTTTACACATAGATTCAAAGTATGATTTTGATCTCATTAATAATATGTTTAGTGATTCAAGAATACTTTGTAGACATGCTATAGATTAGGTGTTCTTTTTGGATGAACGAACTATGATGTCATATAATACCTTAGATTTATGGAATTTGGAAGAAATTAGAGGTCAATAGTTGGTGTATATTTCGATGCTATTTTTCAAGTAAATGCTATGTTTTGTTTTCATGTATCCTAACGGTAGTTGGGGCGGAGCTTTACATGCAAGGCTCTTTGATTTGGTATTCTAGTAAATCATGTATAAATTGATATCACCATTTTATTTTAATAATTGGATTGTCCAGACTGCAAAACGAGTAGACAATTCTATTACTAACCAATAAAATGATAAATGATATCACTGGAACCCTGATAGTTACTCCTGAAATATGAATAGTAATTGTTGCTGTGATCTAATGAATATTTGGTTTGTACTGGGCAGGCTATTCAAAATCCACTTGACTTGGAAGCGAGAAAGTTTGTACTTGTTGAATTTTTTGTTTGTTTACTTGGTAAGTTACTTAGTCTTCATGCTTATATGCATAATTTTGAGGCATTGCATTCTGAATATTGTGGATCTCCTTGCTGTTGTCTCAACAGGAGTGCTGGTACATATGCTCACGCTCAGCATTATAGTTTCCCTTGTTAAGAATATGTCTCCTCCCAACATAGCTTCTTGACAATTTCATGTAACTTTAGAATTACTGCCCATGTCCATGGCTGATAGAATGAAAAATCTGACTGGCTGCATTGTTGCGAGCATCGTTTGTATCTTTTTGTCCATTAGAAAAATTATAGATATATAAAGAAAGTTTTGGACCAATGATTTGTCATGTCACTTTTTAAGTGTTTTTCTTTCTTTCTTTTTTTCATTCAGATTCTATAATTTGATCGACTTGTTTTGTCTTCCACACCATTTTCATCCAAAAAATCATAGATTTTCACACATGTATTTTTACAATTGTCGAAAGGTCATCGTGTAACAAAAAAAATGACCAGGAACTTTCAGCAATATTGGAGAATGTCTTTGCTTTATCTATTAAAAGGAGCAGAGGCTTGTCTCCTCATATTAAAAAGGTGGAGGCTGGTTTCCAGCCCCACTCCTAGCCATGACGATTCTTTCCTGAAATTGTTGTGGTCTTGGAAACGACCCAACAGTATATATTGCAAAATCTTGTGCGTTCAAACATTCTCAGCATTGTTTTTCTTTCTAAAACTCGTTTAAAAAGCTTTGAAGTGGAGAATATTAGACGTAAAATAAGGTTTTCTAATGGCATTACAATGGACTGCACAAAAAAAGGGGTTCGGCTATGTGGTCTCTAAATCTTTCATCTTTATCCCATCATCATATGAATTTTGAATCCCTTCATATTCAGAGTTCCACGACTTGCAGATTTACTAATTTTATGGGTGGCCAAAAACTTCTAACAAAACTCGATTATGGAAGCCGCTGAAGTCTCTAAAGAATAACTCTCAATTGCCCTGGTTGCTCTTTGGAGACTTGAATGAAATATTATTTTTACATGAGAAGTATGGTGGCCATAAGGTGGTGGCAACAGTGAGATGGCTGTGAAGGTGAGATGAAGGTGGAGGTGGTGCTAGTTGAAATAGTTGGAAGATACTCAGAGTAAAAGTGTCATAAAATATTTTATAGAATTAATAAGTTGAAAATATTTTTCAACAAATAAACTAAGTTCACAGGTGGATTGTGTTGACCAATTTTTCTATAAAATATTTTACGGGTAACAAATAAAGGAAAATGGAAAATATTTTCTCATGCTCCTTAAGAACAACATGGATAAGGTTAATTATATTAATTAGTATAAGTCATCTAAAAAGATTATATTTATTAGCATATTGCACGAATTATATATATATATATATATATATATACTATGGTACAAAATATTGTTATAATCGAATTAAATTAAAAAAAAATCAAAATTGAATTACTTTGCAAAACATTGTCTTAAGATATGGATAGGCCTTCATGATGCAGTGGCTCAATGACTAATTTTTTATTTAAAACAATTAAAAATTCAACAGTAATTATATGTAAAGAGAAAAATATCTATAAAAAAAACTATCTCTAAAACTAAATCAATCTACATAAAGTTTCTTCCTGTTAAAAAACTTATTACTAAGCAAATAAATGTTAAAAAATATATATATTTAGCAATAAATATTATAATGATAAATAATGATAACCATAACCACCGTTTGTGGATTCCAGCAAACTCAATTCCAGCTTCATTGAGCTTTGTTGCAGAGTGTATTCGTTTCCATATTCGATTTCGACTTGGATGTTCACTTGGAGAGGAGGGAGAATAACAGTAGTGTATTAAATCATGCAAATGAAACAATTCTCTACTCTCGCTGGTTAATCCATCTAGTTTGAAGAAACAACGAGCAAGATCAACTAGATTTGGCAGATCAATATGATCACTATTAATATTGTCTTTAATTACCTGAAGCAACTTGTCAAGAACAATGAATGGAATCTGGTTCTCTGGTAGTGCCAAATCAGTAATGTCTTTTTTAATATCAAATTAGAGGTCAATCAGCCAACTATCATCTTCTGCACCTTGAGCTTAATTTATAGCCATAATTTCCAACCAAACCGATCCAAAAGAAATCACTCTGGCAAAGAATTATAAAAAAATATATGTATATATAGTTTTCTAACCACGTTATTCTACACTAGTTTCTTTTGAGTTATCAAAAACTAAAAACTGGAAATGTCCATAATCTCAAATCATAGCAAATATTATTTATATACAAAAATACATAAAGACTTTAAGGCACGAATTGTAAAAGTACGTAAATAACAAAGACCTTAAGGCATGAAATCAATTGCTATTCATGCTCTGATCTAATAATTCGTATAGAGATTTTTCGAATAATAAATGATTTTGGCATTTATAGGAATTTAGTTTGGCATGATGGATGACAAGAACTAATTAACTTGCCGGATCGACATGAATATAATTATTACTCATGCTCATATTAGAGCCTAGCTAATAAATAAATAAATAATAATGACTTTAAGGAACAAAGTCAATTGCGATTAATGCTCTGATCTTATAATTCATATACAGATTTTTCCCATAGTAATAATAATAATAAATGGTGTTGGCATTTATAGGAATTTAGATTGGCACAAGGGAAGACCAGACTATCTTATTAGGAGGGAAGGCTCTGAAAAAGGTTTGGAAGACATCAAAAGAGTCAAACAAATAATAAAATCTGGATGAAAACGTAGAGGAACAAGATATACTCTAATATACAAATATAAATTATTAAATTTTAAATTAGTTACTCTATTTTCAAATCAAAGCAATTCATTTTTTATTTTTTATTTTTATGGCTAGAACACATCC